ATGGAGAGAGGGACAAGGGAAAAGGAGACAAGGGGACAAGGGAAGATAGGGATAAAAAGAAAGAAGGGTGAGAAGAAAGAAGGAATGGAGAAAAGAAGTTAGAGGTGGGAGCAAATGATACATGTTGTTGAGCCATTCAGGAATATATCAGTCCTCTGGTAGTGTATTATTACAAATCACCTCTTCTGTTCAATCCATTTCGCAGAAGTGGAGTTAGCTGTGTACTTGGCTTCAAGAAGGGCATGTGTAATTTGAAAATGTAGTTGTTGTCATTATCTGCCAAATATGAATGCAGAAGCTTGGAAAGCTTAAAATCTTCAGAGATAGAAAATATTTTGTATTCATTTTCCAAAAATATGTCAGAATAGATGTTAAGTACACCTTTGGCATACATATCAGCAATGTTAAAATGTCTACTAAATATCCAGCAGTTGTTATACCCCAAAAGTCTAATCTATGAAGAAGTACATTAATTTCAGTGATGCATAAACTCATTTACCTATGCAAATGAGTCCTTGGATGCAAGTTTACATACTGCTTGTGAAAACTGACTTGAACTTTTGCCTAGAACCTTATTATACACATCCTGTATGCTGGTGATCTGTTGCTTGTAGTACAACAACCACTTTTAACTCATCACTTTTCCTTTCAACTAATTATAATCCCATGGTCCTGACCTGTCCCATTTTTTCCATTCTCCTTTCTACCACTTCAGTTCCAATTATATAACCACATTTCCTAGTTTTCCATGGTGCTACCTGGTGTTTAGTGTCAGGGAACACCACACTTCACATTCTTTTGCTGGTTTATGTCTGGAGTGCTTGGAATAGAAACTTTGTCCTTGTGCATGGTAGATAGGCAGTATACCACTGAGCAACAATGCCAGTTCCTCTTTGCCTGTTAAAAGAAAAGTGTTAAACATGCAGAACTATTATCTATATTCATCTCGCAGAGGTTGGTATTTAACATAAAATATTTGCTTAGCATGTACAAGATCCTAAGTTTGATTCCATTAGATGGATATAAGCTGAGTTTCTACTTCCCTTGAGAGAAAGATTTTAAAGCTCATTGAAAATACATTCTTGCGTGCTAACTGCTGTGCGGTATATTATCTTCCCCTCAATGGTATACTGAAGTCTTAACATCCATTTCTTATAAATGTGATTATGTTCAGAAGTAAAAAGTTTGAAAATTTAATCAAACTAATACTAGGTTATCTTGCAAAAGGCGGGAACTTAATAATACCCTTGTAGTTACCTAATGCCAGAGGATGATGAGTTTAAGTCCAGCCTGGGCTACATAGTAAGATGAGAGAGAGAAAGGCCGAAGAATATTAGAGTATGACTTTCTAATCAAATGAACATGAAGGATTGCTGGTGACCATAAAGAGATATAGTCATCTCTGCTTTCAGTCTTGCCAGAACACACTAAAATGACAAGTCTGCCATGTTAAATCTCTCAGGTTGTAGTATTTCATAATAGTGCGGGATGTCTATAGAATAATCATGGCAAGAAATGCAGAAAGACTTGTTCTCTCATATAGAAGGGATATGCCATCTTCTATTTAGGGATCTCAAGATACCCTCTGTCAATTTGGGTGATTTCTTGGTCACAAAGTTCAGTTCCAGTTACCATTTATCAACTGACATATAGTCAGTTTCTCATAATGGCATGACATCTTTGGTGCTTGAAGAATTTGGTCTTTTAATCTTATACCTGACCATATATATATGGTTATTTCAGAATTGTGTGTTTCTTCATTTAAAAACATGAATAATAGCTTCATATTTTGTTTGTCATTATTTTTGTAGTGCAATTTTTTTTGGTTTTTACGAGACAGGGTTTCTCTGTATTGTTTTGGAGGCTGTCGGTCCAGCCCGGCCTCAAACTCACAGAGATCCGCCTGCCTCTGCCTCCCGAGTGCTGGGATTAAAGGCGTGCGCCACCACCGCCTAGCTTGTAGTGCAATTTTTACAGTTTGCACTTTGATTTTATCTTAACAAAAATGAAGGACATATATATATACATACTTTTATACTGTGTGCTGAATAATTATTTATCTTGAGAATTGTCCTATGTATTAGATTATATCTTCAGAATCTCAAGACTCATCTCATGACCTATCAGAAGATCCTTCACAGTTTGACAATGAAGTAAGAATGACAATGTCAAATATTCTGGCAAGGGAGAATGAGAACAACAAAAACTCTTCCAGTGTTCCAGGTTATTGCTTGTAACCAGAGTCATTAAAGTAAATAATTGCAGCAGTGTAATATACAAATGCATTTCAATTTTAAGAATATTTTAAGAAGTAAATAAAAATTTCATTGCACTAACTCACTTTCATATCTTAATTCACAACAAAGAGTGTGAAGGGTATCCCACTGTCACTATCGCTTTTAATAAGAACAACACCAATGTCAGTGTGAGCAAAATGCCATACAAATAAGTAGCTTAATTAATTCTCAGGATATTTGGTTAATTTCTCCTTGCTATAACAAGATTCCTAACTGAAGCTTAAAGAAGAAAGAATTTACATTTGGTTCGGAATTTGAGAATATAGTCTATCAAGGCAGGAAAGTCCAGATTGTGGGAGCCTGAGGAGACTAGTCACATTGCATCCTCAGTCAGGAAACAGCCAAGGGAGTGCTGATGCTCATCTCTCTTCCTCTATTTCATTAAACCCAGGATCCTAGGCTATGGAATGGTGCTACCCACATACCAGGTGGATCCTTTCACCTCCATCAATCCAATCTAGAAACTATCTTACAAGCATGCTTAGACACTTGTCAACAAGGTGATTCTGGGTCCTCCCAAGCTAACAATCAATATTAACCATCCCTCAAGCTTAGTATAGGTAATAAAAACACTCAAATACTATTGTCTAGTGAATAAGAAATTCTATGTTAAGCTTTTATAAAAATCTCCATAAACAAGGCCTCAAGTCTTAACCAGTTTTGCTTAATGAATGACTGTGATTTTACTTTTTCCCCTATGCCTGGAGTTTAAAGACAATGACTAAATTTCTAAAAGCACCCTGAAACAATTTATTAATAATAAAGTATACACACCCCAGAAGTGGTAATCTTTAGGGGGAAAAAGCTGATACATAATTTCAAAACTGCTTCCCTTGGGATATTAGTAAGTGAAAGGAAAGTAAATTTTCATCCTGTTAATACCACTCTTATTTTATATCTCTCTACACATGACGTTTAGTCTACTCCTAGTTAATTTACAGCTAATTTTAGTTCTATAAAGCTTTTCATAGTTTGCTTAATGATAATTTGCTCTATTTAAATATTGTCTGCTCATGGTTTCCTTGAAGTTCAAAAACTGTCAAATTTACATTGTGAGAGTATAGTTGGATCAGGATAATTATATAAGATGCTTAACCTGTCTATAATGTTCAAAACCATACTCACAAGGGCTAATTATAATAATTACATAAATAAAGACCTGTGGTGTCTTCTTTTAGCTTCATTTTCTTTCAAGAAAATGATCCCCATGGTCTTTAAACAGTCTTTTGGGAAAATGGGACACTAGTCTGAGTAAAACAAGTATTTGATCTCCTTTCTTTTGTTTTATATGATATTAACACAAAATTAACATGTGAAAATTGTTCCCTCTTATGCTAAAATATAATATTCTTTGACTTTCAATTGTGAACTGTTCATTCAAACCATTCATTATGACTTATGGCTTTTGATACCTTGCATGATTTTTAAAACTTTGGTGCCCCAATACCATTCCTAGAAGTTGCAATGCCATTGGGATGGTATATCAGGCAACATTGGGAAATATTTTTTGAACTCCATAGTTGATTGAAATCCACAACAACATTGGAAGCCACTGCTTTAAACTATAATAGAGATACACACTTTATCTACTGGGGATGAGGAATAACAACTGCTAAGCTGCCAGAAGCTGACAAGACAATCAAGAAAATCCTGGGTTTTGTCACCACACATTTCTCTTCTGATAGTCTAGTCTTTCATTCACTCATTAGCCATGCTAAAATAGGAGTGAAATTTTCTGCTTAATTGAGCAAAACTACATGTGAACACCTAAGCTCACAATTGGGAAGTACCTATACAACTATTGTGTCATGTGTGGTTTCTTTGGTCAAGCAAATTGACAAAGGTTAGGTTGTTTGCACAGCCAATGATTTGGCAAGAATATGCTCTTCCATCCCTGTAGAGAATGAAAGCTATAAATGGATCTTAGTCACATGTGATGCTTCCAGTTTAAGCATATTACCTTGCCCAAGGGTTAGATTGATTCCCTTAATATCTTTCATACTACAGTGTATTGGGACCTCAACCACTTGAACATTTCACATGACATTTGGTACACCATATTAATCAATTAAACAGACCAAATGAATAAGGAATTGAATGACTACTAGAGAAAGAGATATACCAAATAAGCCCCCTCAACCGTTTCAATATGTTATAAAATGTGTAGAATTATTTGAGATATTTCTAGAAGAAATAGTCTATGTAGGGTTTAAGACAAGCTCCAGTAGAAAATTACAACAGAAATCTCTTAGAGTTCTGTAGAAAAAGTTATGACGCTTGTTGCAGAAAAGAAAATATAAATTTTAAAAAGGACACAAGCAAAAAATTTGTCACTTATATGATATCAGACTTACATTACCTTGGTCTGTCTGACCAGGGAGCCAACTAAAAATTAATTCTGAACAGAGTTTTACAGTCCATCCGATGGATATAGAAACAACTTATAATATTCATAATATAGAAGCCACCTAAAAATCTTAATATCCCAATCCTCAGAAAGTTGTTGACTGTGTTGTTTCGTGGAAAACTTTGTTGCCATCTTTAAACTCAATGAGTTCACAGCAAAGTAAACAATAAACAGAAGTTTGAGACAAGCTATGGAATGAGAGAAAATGTTTATTAGTCATTCATTCCCTCAAAGGAGAAATTTCTACAACATATCACAAAAAATGCTCAATAGCAATGAAAACAAATAATCCTGTTAATAAATGTACAAATTATCTGAGTAGACCTTTACCAAAAGAAGAGACAAAAATAGCCAATCACATGAAAATAGGGAAATGAAAGTAGAGATCACATTTTATATAACCTCAAGCCAATAAGAATACCTATAATCAAAACATTGACAATTGCTAGAGAGGGCTAGAGGCCAAACATCTAATACACAAGTTAAATTAGCACTCAACTGTGGAAACAATATGAAAATTTCTCAAAAACTGACAGGACTGGAGAGGAGGCATCTTATATACAGGTTAAATTAACATTCAAATGTGGAAAGCAATTGTGAAAGTTTTTCAAATAATGAAACTATATGATTCAAAAAATCCCACCACTGAGTATATCTTCAAGGGGAGTATCTAGGGGAGACTACATCAGGGACGTAAAATAAACAGATGAATTTTAAAAAGAAAGAAAGAAATGATATGAAACAAAGAGATCCCTAAAACTTTCTTTATTGCATCTTAATCACCAAAGTATAGTATTAGACAAAGTATTTATCAGTAAATGAGTAGATAAATGGAATGCAGCACTTAGGCAGAATAGAGTACATAATATTCACTATAAAAAGCGAAATTATGTCATTTGTAGCAATACAAATGAGTGTGGAAGTCATAGCAAATGAAATGAAGCCATACTAAGAGAAGTTCTGAAATAATTGCCTATAAAAAGACTGTGTTCAGTTAGCAAAGTGGTGACTAGTAGAAGCTAGGAAGAGGAGTGAGAGGACTTGTGCCTTTATTTGTTAATGGAGAACCAACTGAGAATTCTAACATAAAAACAACATGGCCAGCACTAAATCAAAATCCTTAGAAAAGAGGTATTTGAATGGTTTCAATATCAATAAAATACAAATTATTGGGATGATAAATAAAGTATATTTACTGAACCTCATTATATTAAATATAACTAACATTGCAGCATGAAGTAGATTATTACTGTCTGTAAAATAAAATGCACTTCACAACATGAAACATGTCATTAATTCAAGATGTATTCTATGTCTATAAAATACTTAACAGAACTTTAAAATAGCATAACCAAGTCTTTAATAACTCTTTGTTGTCATAAATAAACACTGGTTGGCATGTGACAATTTCCTATGAGAATGAAACAGCCCATCCTACAAGCAAACTCTTCAACTGTGAGGTAAATAACTCAGAATAGCATCAGGAAGACCCTAAAACTGACCCAATTCACTAGTCTCCTTCTTGATGGAATAAACAACAAGAGTTGAGGCTGCCTTTCAGAGAAACTGAGCTGCAAAGAAAATTCCTTCTCTGACAAGCCAAGCTGCTATGAAGATTCTGAGACCAGACCAGCAGTTGCCTGGGAGAAGCAGGTACAGGCAGATCTAAATGGAAGAGGATTACACCAACTGAGTCACTGGAATGGGCAACTGTCCAACCTGTTAAGCTACCTACTTACTATGATGAGTGCTTCAGGCTCCCAGCTTTTAGGTCATGCTTTCTGAGGAGAGTTCTGCAGACGCATCTATCTTGAGATCTTTCTGCTCCTGCAAGACACCTCTAAACCATACTCTTGTATGTAACCCCAATAAAACTCATGGTTCACCAAGGTGGATTTTAGTGGTATGTAATATAAAAAATAAGATCCAGAGACAGATATTGGGTTCAAGCTTCAAGCTGAAGATCATATAATTAAAGCAGCCAAGCCAGTAGATCTTATCATCTTTACCAAGTCAAAATGGCAACCCTGTCTCCACGAATCCTCTGAGGCAAAAGCTTTCAGTTCTTGTCTCCTCCTGCCTTTTATTTTTTCTCTACCCAGCCACATCATTCCTGTCTCCACCTCCCTAGTACTGGGATTAAAGACTTGTGATTCCAGGTGGTGAGATGACCTTTGTGTGAGTTGTTTCTTTTAGAACTGGATAAAATTCATGTAGTCAATGTGGCCTTGAACTAACAGAGATCTATATACACCTTAACCCTGAGTCCTTGGATTAAAGGTGTTAGCCATCAGTGCCTAGTTTCTATGGCTCACTAGTGTGACTGCTGGGATTAAATGTGTGCATCACCAATGCTTGACCTATATAGCTTGTGGCTAGTTTTGCTTTCTGTATCCTCAGGCAAGTTTTAATAAAGCAGAAATAATATATCACCACAGTGGTATCCGTATTTTAGTCTGTCATGAGCTCACCATTTGGGGTGAGTAGATGTGTATGTTGTATCTCCCCAGAAAAATTTTTGTCACACAATACTAGGTAAACAAGTACAGATGTACATTTGTGTTTGGGAGCCCTCCACCCTACAGACTGAGTGAATTTAAATGTACTTGTATTAACACTGAATTCTGAATGTGTGGAATATTGTCATTTACAGTGAATTTTCAACTAAGTTTAGCAACACACCTTGGGTCTTTGAAAATTAATCATTGCATTGCTCAGTTGTAAAGCTCAGTATAGTTACTTTAACTGTTTTCATGAAATGTTAACGGCTTAAACACAGGAGTGGCCTTTCAAATGTGAACTGACAGAAGTACATTGATTAAGTTACCATTCCAAATTACTTCCTTTTAATTCTCATTAATCTCTATTAATACTCTTAGCTCTATTGTCAAGCTTGATCTGCTTCTTACTGGATATTTTCCCAAAACCTCTTGATCAAGATAGTCAAAGTCTTTAGATTATTATTGTTCAAAATACCCATCACTCAGAAGAAAGCATGTTCTCAGAGATGTGGAATGACTCTTAATAGACAGTGTCTTGGAAACAGACTTTCACTATCAATTACCGGCAGATAGGCAGCCCAGCTGTTCTTATTGTACTTTATGTACAAATTGATATGTTTGCTATTCCAATGGCAAAAAACATATCAAGTGTCAAGTGTCCTATAAAAGTTTCTAATCTGACTGTGGATCAGTGGGGGATAGAGTATGGAGTACTGTAGTTCGAGGCAAAAACACTTTCTGAGACTCCAGGACAGGGAGACGCCAACTATCTCTGAAGAAGAAATGATTCCACTTCCGATCACTGTGGTATGTGGATTTTTTTTCATTTTTGTTTCTATGCCTAAGAAGAGAAACAATAACACCAGAGGAAGGGGAGACACAAAGACGAAGGCCTTTGACCAGCCAGTGCTTTGTGTGGGAAAATAAATGTTGGATTCAATCAATTCCTGAGAGACTAAGAGGAAATTTTCCAAGGCTACTTCTCCTATTGCATTTGACAATACTTACATTATTTGAGTCACAATAATTAAATTTTATTGCTTATTTTAAAAAGCAGATCATAAGTAATAATTTTAATGATTGCAAACAGCTGAAGAATTTGATGAAAGGTGAAAACAATAAGTCTGGACAATTAAAAGAACTTTGCTCCATTTTAATGAAAATAAACTATATAAATCTTTCATGTACTTTCTTCTCCATGTCAGTCCAGTATTTCCTGCCTCATATTTCATATCATGTGTTCGTGAGACAAATAAATGTGTGAGACAAATAAATATTTAATATATTAATTAAAGAATTTTAATATTGATTTAACTTGAATTATTAAATTAGGCACATAAAATGTATATAATGTTTGTCTTACATACCTGTCTTGATGCTGTGCTAAAACAATAATTGCAATAAACAACTTAAATACATGTGTAGTTTGGCTCACAGCTGAGGGTACAGCCTAATGTGTAATGGAGAAAGTACAAAAGCAGAAGCAAGAGGTGGTGAGTCATATTGTATACATAGTGAGGAAGGAAAAAGTGATGAATGCTTATGCCCATCTCACTTTTCCTCTATATACAGCCAAGGATTGCCCTAGTTTATTTTCCTGTTGCTGCAATAAAATACTCTGACAAAGGCAATAAAAAGGAGAAAAATGTTACTCTGTTTCACTGTTTGAAGGCTTGGTCCACCATCAGAGAGCAGACAAGGTTGCAGAAGCTTGAAACAGCAGATCTCATTGTATTCACAAGCAAGAAGCAGAGAAAGATTAATTCATGTTGCTGCTCAGTTCCTTTCTCCGTTTATATTGTCTGCAATCCCAGTTGCATAGATATTTCCAGTTCAATTAACATAACTGAAACAATTCCCCAAAGGTAAACCCAGGAACCCACCTCCCATGGTGATTCTGGAATTTATCAGTTGGCAACAAACGCTAGTCATTGCACTTGGTGATGGTGCTGGCCACATTTAGGACAGTTCTTCCAATTTCAGGTAATCTAACAGAAATGGTTTTCCACAGGCTTGCCCAGAGGCTTGTCTCCTCGATGAGCCTGGATCCTGTCAAGCTGACATCATTAACCATCACAATATGCCGCATTCATCTTTCCCCTTTGGACACCCAGAAGTACACAGTGAAGTTTAATGATCATTCACGGTAACTGCAGAAACTTTGTCCATTTGTTTGTTCATTTAGATGTATGTTCATAAACTATGTTTATGTTAAGACATTAGTTGACACATAGCATGCATTTCAATTATTGCTCAATTTTAATGGGTGCTTTCTTCAATCACTTGAGAAAATATAATGAATAAGTGACTTAGACATTTCCTCATATTTTGAAATGAAATGAGCAATGAATGTCTTAATGAAAAAATGTGACCCTTGAATAATGTCCACACGTTAATGAATGAGTCTCTCTCAGGTACTGTAGTTAAGAGGTATGATCCCTTTAAACAAGTCGGAAAGACAAAGAGATAAAAGCAAGAAACCAATTTGTTAAAATAACATAGGCTTGTAAAATTTCTAACATATCACCTATTTGTACTCTTCTGAAGACTTTCTGTAGGAACAAGCAATATCTTATAGTTTTAATTGTAGCTATATTCAGTGCAAAAGTCATTGATTAAAGCCACATAGTTTAACAATGACAGTGTACACTTTTGAATTGTTGAAACATTCAAACGTGTAGATGTGTTGCATATGTATTACCATTATGTTTCTGATTAGACTACCAAACAATATATACATTCTTATTCAGATCATGGAATGGTTAAGGGAACAGTAAAGTCATCAGTCATTTAAACTGGGCATCTTTATAAGAAACCACCAGATGATTTGATGTTTACCTTATGTTTTGTAGGGAAGCATTATAGCTCCCTTGTATAATAGAGAAAGAATGTGATGAAAAGTCCTGTTGATACACAGGAGAGGGAGATTGGCATGTAACATGATTTGAAGGATATCAGGAAAAATGAAATGTCCTCCAAGAAATTGCTTACTGCGTCTTCCATTTTGCTGTTATTTCACATTAGTGAGTTCCTAAGAGTTATATACAAATGTTTCTGTCAGGAAATTTTCTTTGGGGGAATTACTTGAGAGGGTGTAAAGAATGAAGATACCACACAAGTTATGCATGCAAATATGTTCTTGGAACCTTTGACGGAGAATAAGAAAACTCTGGGATAGAATTTCCAATATGGGATTAAATGTATTAAAATACCTCTGTAGTCACTTCACAGTATAGGATGACTACAATGCAGAGTTCTGATCTAATATTAGGAAGGAATGCTGTTGGGAAACCTTGAGATATGAAGGATTACCTGGTTTTATAAAAACGAAGACAGATTCAACAAGTATATCATTTTCCCTTTTATTATTTATTTATTTTTTGGATGGGTTCTACTTTCTTTTCGTTGTAAGGCACTATACCAGTCATACTAAACAAAGATACCTGGAACTAGAACAACTGTCAGCCTCCAATCGCAAAGACTTGTGTTGAGTTATGACTTGCTGATATAGACTTTCATAGCAGGGGACTAGCAGGATTCTGAGTCAGGACTGACAGATTCTGCATCAAGAACAGTAATATGGCGATTTCTGTTGCTTTCAACCAGGGTACACTTCCAATCACTCAGAGGAAAAGAACTTTCTTCCTCTACTCTTTGCTAATCTTTCATTGCCACAGTCAAGGAGGTAACTTGAACTTTCAAGAGAATGCCAATGCTGCATTGCTTGTTTCTGATATCAGTGAACACCTGCAAAATGCTAACTTCTAGAATAATCCTGAATGATTATTATTGAAACAAACTACAGAAAATGCCACACAAATAGCATAATGTCCAAGGTCTTTTCCTTTAAAATAGTATTTTTTGGCACCTGTTCTTCCTTCTTTTTAATATTCACTTACATACTGTGGGCTGGGGTGGAGTAACTAAATGTCACAGTGTGTGTGCATAGCTCAGAATAAGGCTTGCTGGAAATGATTATGTTCTTCCACCATGTGGGTCCTCTGAATTGCATTGAATTTCTCAGGCTTGGGGCAAGCACCTTTACCTGCTGAGCTATCCCATGGGCCCTTAAGTGGTTTCTTTCATGAATAACTTAAATAGTATCTTAAAACAAAAACTTGTTTCTGTGACAATGCAGATACAAAACAAAATTGAAAAGATTTGAACAGGTGTTTCCAACTTGAATTCATTCTTTAGATTATAGTAGATAAAATGGCAAATGACAGTGAGAAACCAATAGTCAGAGAAAATGACATCATACAATTTGCTGCTGTATCACAAAACTATGAAATAATATTTTAGATTTAAAATGGTAAGAAATTAAATCTTCTTTCTATAAAATAATTTTTATTTAACTTTTTACACGTTATTCTCAGTTCCCTCCCTTTTCCCTCCTCACTTGGCCCCCAATCCTCCCAACCTCCTACTCCACTCCACTCCTTTCCCCAGGGAGGGTAAGGGCTTCTATGAGGGATTTTCATAGTCTGTCATATCATCCAGGGCAGGGCCTTGGTCCTCCCCCATGTCTTCTATAACATGAAGAATATATTAAGAAATGAGAATCATTTCCAATGCCAGTCTACCTTAGGATAATAATATCAATTACTAATTCAATACAGAGCAGCCACCACAGTTTTGTTACTTGCTTTAACTATCATATAAAATATATTAGCAGCATTGAACGAAAGATTTTAACACAGAAGGCTGGAAAGGAAATATTAGTCTGATAGAGTTTCATAATTACATTCTGCTCAAGGTGATACAGAGTATTCAGTTAGGACAAATTAGAGACAGCAAAATGGAAATTTATCTTAGAAAAGATTAAAAATGTGGACACATTGGGTTAAAGTGTCAGAAACCATTTCAAGATCCAAAATGCTGCAAAGCTTTGCTGCAATGAGCATGGATGTGAAGTATGGCTGAGATATTCAGTGTTTGTTAAAAAGAAACATTCAAATTAGTTATCAAATTTAGAAATTTAACAGATTTGGGAGAAGGAGTATGTTTCAGCAGTTCAGAAGAGAATGGGATTCAGATATTAGTTACAAGCTGCAAAGTGAACTGAATTGAACTGAACTCATTTTATGACCTAAAGCAAATCTTCTCTCTATCTCAATGTTCTAAGCTGCAAAACTCAGTCCATATGAAAGACAGTTCTCATGAACCCAGCTGCTTCTCTGTGTGAGCAGGAAGTTCCCTTCAAAGTCAGTGCAGAAACTGTGAGGAATAAATGGCAGTAAGAATAAACATTAACTTATATACACTATCTATATAAGCCCCCTGGCTTTTAATGATATCATCCATATGACCACTTGATGTATGATTATCATTGATTTATAGACATGGAAAGCTATTTAATTGCAAATATACAGCTCTATTTAACAATTTCAGTATAGAATTGATTTTGCCTTGCCAAAGAGCATGCTATTTTGCACGCATGTTTATACTTCTTTATGATATCATTAAAATGGATGCTATTTGTAGTAAATCATTTATATCAAGCACATATCAATTTTATGTAACATATGAATAGGAAAATGGCCAATGTTTACTTAGAAATTCTCATTGGTGCATGGAAATCTGCCTGGAAATTTTTTCTTTGTTTTCTTTTATCCTCCACATCCCTGTTCCCTCTTACTGTGTTATTTGCCCCTTTCTCTTTTGCTACCCACTTTTTTCTCTTCCTTTCTCATCTTCTACTTTACTACCATTTCCTTCTTTATTTTCTTCTTCTGCTCCAGCTCCAACTGTCTTTCTTCCATGGACCCTTCCCTTCTCTTTTCTGTCTGTCCATTCATATGTTCATTCTGTATGTTTTCCTTTCTTCTTTCTCATAACAACCCTTATTGGCGACCACTATGTGACAGATGGCATGCACAATATTAGGAATCCTGAAATAAATAACACATGGTCGCCAAGATACTGAACGTGTGTCTAAAAGGAGAAAAGAATAATTTGAAAGTTGTTCGTGAAATCATAGAGAGGACATGGAGAACGAGATACAGGCTGAAAGAATAAGACATATTCACAAGCTTTCATTTTAGTCTTTATCAACACCTTCAGAGGCTATTTAAAAGTATAGAGTGCAGACAATAAGCCTCTACCCAACTGTGCCATTCTATACAAGATGGTATCACAAGCATTCAAAATGGCTCTCTCTGAAGATCTCAAGTCTTTTAGTAATAGCTTGTCTCATTGTTCTAAAAAATTATTCTGAGTATGGGGTAAAATCTCAGTGAGTAAGAATACTTGACTTAAAAGAAAAGTGATCTGGGTTCGAACAGTCCACACCCATGTAACACGGAAGCATGTGCCTGAAATCCTAAGAGATCACTATAAGGGCCAAAATAGTGAAAACAGTGATATTTTGGTTTGCTGAGATACCCTGTCCTAAAACAGTAAGGTGGGAAGTCATAATGGCGCCCTATGTACTTTTCTGGCCTAAATATGTTTGTACGCCTAAAAGACAACTATCTCTGGCTATGAAACAACTTCATATTTTTTGACAATTCATTACACACACACACACACACACACACACACACACACACACACACACTCCAGAAATTTATTCTGAATAGATTTGGGAATGGTAAAACAACTGACCATACACCTGGATTTCTCAAACCCAAATGGACATTCACTGAATTGGCTTTGGATTATCCTGCCTAAGAACAGTGTTTATGTATGCCTAAATTTGGCATCTAAGTTTGTCAGTTTGGCATCTGAATGGAGGAGTCTCAGTAACTGAAATCAGTCACACAAGTGCTACATATCTAGATATTTGATCTCTACAGACTTGAACATCAAATCTCAGGTGAGTGATCTGTTTTAATGGTCTTTACATGTTTGGTAACATAATTTTAAAGAAAACTAATCCAATTTTTGAGTGAACTCTTGGAGTAGACATATTTGGAAGCTTATCTATGTTATTTCTAAATGTTAACCACAACTTTCCCCTTTGTATATTCTAATCTGAATTCTTCCTTTGTAATATTAGAAACTATAGTGATAAATAAGATACATATGTGGTTCCCAAGAGTGCTTCCAGTGATTCATAAATCTCAGCATTCTGGAGATTGACAACATACCCAACAGATGCCTGATCCCTTTATTTCACACTCTGCAGACCACACATCCTTCCAAAGTTATCCAAGGTGATACCACAAAGAAAAAGACGGTAAATGTGAACAATATGCCTTTGTATTGTTTCTTACTATATCATATAAACTTATCATGTTTTCAAGATAAAGATTTTTTGTTATATTTTAAATATAAATTAGAAACAAGGTTTCTTCACATGTCATTTCCAGGTCCCTCTCCCTTTCGCTCCCTTTCTCCCATGCCCTCCCATCAACCACTCAAATATCCCCTCATTTCCCCAGGGAAGGTGAGGCCCTACATGGGGGTGTCCATAGTCTGTCATTTCATACAGGGCA